ATATTGGGGTTCCATGGGGTTCATCCTCTTGAAGACATGTCATACTGTAGAGTGAAAGATGAAACCGATTTTGTGATGCTGAGACTAATTTTTTTATTCAAAGAGATTTCCACTTCGATCTCTAGGGAGAAACAAATTTCGTCGGGGCGGTTGGGGATAGGAATCAATGTGTATTTATTGATTTTCATCACATCTCGCCCCTAGTGTCGATTAGATGGAAGAAAAGATTTAAGAGTACTTTATCGATTTCCCATATTCAATAAAGATGTGATTGTATTTGAACTAATCTTCATCCGGTACAAACGAGTGCAAGAAATGTAAACAGTACTGAACTTGTTTCGTCCTGTTCAGGGCTCGTTAGCATTGCTTGCTTTTTTGTGTCCCTGACAGGACTCGGACCGCAAACATTCGGGTCGGGACTTCAAACCCTTACCCCTGAGTTACACGGTCGACGGTCATCACCTTGTGCTAATGGCTCAATTAGTTTAGTGTCAAGCTTGGATTAGCCCATTCGATTGTTCCAAGAGTGTCTGATGCCTCTGATCGATCGAATGGGTCAATCCAAAGCTTGACACTCTAAAGTACAGTACCTCTGTGTATAATGGTCTGCTTAATTGTCACCCAGTTTGCAGAGTTAGTATCGGTCTCCGTGACACGCTCTGGTGGTGATAAGCAAAAAACTGAAACCTCTTTGCTTATTCCCACTGTTTTATATCACATTTTCTTTGGTGGTTTCTTTGAGTGAACTCAGGTAAACTTTTCCCGTAAAATCACAAACTGTAGAACGGTTTTCACTGAATAGAATAACCTATTTATATGAACCACTTAGGTGTAACACCTGAAAGTAACCTTCGCTGACCTTTACATGCCAAAACTATTGCTCAAAATCTGAAAATTCTGTTCTTTCAGATAATAAGAATGAGCCACTTCTGTTCTACTTTGTCGGTGATAGAAGCTTTTGTTCAATAATGCCTCTTTACTGCTCCCTTGTAATTTCCCCTGGTTTTCTGAAGGCCGATCTCGGGCAGCTGAGGTGTGGTCTGACAATAATTAGCCATGTTTCGCAAGTTCCGTTATCTGTTCTGATTGACAATATCTGTGAGGTCATAGTGACACGTGTTTGCAGTTTGCTGACAAAATTCTGTCTGCTTGCACCCAACGTTTACACACTGACCTATGCGCATGCAAATCCCATCCTTACACCCGCTCCAAAAACGAACTCGTCCCATCTCGGATATCCTCCGACAGAAACTCTTTGGTACCCTATCTTCCCGGATAATGACCGACAAGAAGAATGCTCTCCCTGAGCTTCCCAATGCATTTAGTAGTTAATTCACATTTTTGACGCTTGATAACTCACCTTCTCCCCTTTTTAACATAATTGTGACAGTGATCTCTTTCTTTGGCTGGAAGCTTGTATATAACTCACTAAAGCTTCCGTACAATACAATACAATACAATACAATACAACAGCAAAATACATATAGGTTTCTGCTGAACAAGATAATCTATTAATAGACATCTGTGTACTGTCTATTCTAAATTGTGATAATATTTTTTACCGAACCTACTAATCGGCTCATGATAGAGTTTGTGAAATATTTCCATTTTTGCTATTAAATTTGAAGTGGTCCCCATATTTCGTCTGTGATTCAGAATGATGTGTGTGTTCTTTACTATCGATCCTATAATACCTTAATTCGATGAGGTGCTTAAAAATAATAAAAAAATTACCAAAATTTTGATAGGAACGGGCAAAATCTTCATTTTCTCTTCTGTTTTCGGTAAATGTGTGACTATGCTTGGGACGTAATTCTTCAGTCCAATGATCCATTCTGCGGGTGTTTTGTTGACATACTGGTTTCCTTCGGGGATCATATCATTATTGTTATTATGATTACATTTCGTACTTGTCTTGGTCAAGACTAGGTAAACAAATATTTTTGTAGTAGTCTTAATAGGTACGAGTCACGGATCACGAATCAAAGCCGCAAATGAAGCACGGAATCGCACCAGCAAACGTAGGCTGGAATTTCCCATCACCGAGACACAGGAGAAAGGCCCCAGATGTATCGGTTCATTCAGTGAGAGAGACCAACAAGATTGAATCATATTTAAAAAGAAAAGGCATTGGTTAAACCGGTATTCACCAATAGCCCACTCGTATTCTCGATGTCACACACCTGATCCAACCGCACGGTTTCTGATTGGTCAGCGCCATTGGCCTATGGTTTGTTGTCCAGAAACTGTAACGTATCGTCCCGTGGCTGGCGTTAGCTAAACAGAACTTCGTGCCATAAGAATCTTTGTAAAAAAACAGCTGATGCGTGGCTATTGAAATTAAAACATTATGTTCTTGAGGATTCACAACCGGCGAACTAGGTTTACCAAATCCTCACCGGCAATGAACAAGGATTGCGTGTGAACATTGCATTTTATTTGGATGCCTGTGTCTATTCAGTGGAATCACACGCGTTTGGAGCGTATAACTCACCTCAGGGTATCCATTACGTCCTCACACCCAATTCAGCCAGTAATCATTGCGACTAGGATCTCATAGAGCCAGCTCGTATGCCTTTTCTTGGCAGATTGGGAATTAGAGTTTTCCGCCCCCGTCTGGATGAGCTGGCTCATCAACTCATCGACTACATTGTTTGAGACTATATGGCTCTTACAACACAATATTCAAGGAGACCGTTAGCTATCAAGTTATGCATCGACAATGGGTTAGAAGCAATGTGAGGCTTTGTGTCATCTGATTTGATATCTCACAAATAAAATAGGGGAATAATCGCATATCGCAATAGAAAAAAGCAAAAATAGATTTCAGGAAGGGGTCTATGTCTATTATCATGGTTACCATGGAGCCAACGACATATGGAGGTTAGTTGGCGGCAATGGGGTTCAAACACACAACACCTGGGTCGGGATGATGTCCTACATCAATTGACCAACGTCACTGAACTAAGGTTACTTACTGGCGGAGCCTATGAGTTCATTCCCCTGTACTTCATTCACGAGGCACGAACTACGAACATTTTCATTAAACTCGTTCCACATCGCCGTGAGCTGGTGAACATACGGAACACCTTGCGAACGGGTTTCGTCTACATATTCGTTCTTTGGAAGACTAGCTTAGTTGTTCACATAGTTAAGGCAAATTGCAATGATGGACAGAATTTGTGTACTCAGTCGAATCACAATACATCATACACCCGAATACAATTGCTGGTGTGTACAAAAGGTTTCCAGTACGGCCGGCGGTGGATGTCTCGGTGTTGTGGCCGGTCACATCTCCCTTGCACCTCACGAAATGCTCCCATACGACCAAGCATCTCAAATAGCTTTTGTGGAGGAAGCCCCACTTGCTGTCTTCTCCTGGAGGTGTTTGCTCACCAAGTGAGAGGACGAAAAGCCGACATCTGGGGCTATAACCGGATCGATGAACTACTGGCGGTTCACCTAGGGGGTTAGCCAAAAGCCTTGATCACAAACCAACCAAGGAGAGGCATGCGAACCACACACACACACACACACACACGAACACACACATCGTACTATTCGTGATAGTGGTCACTAGCTCGTTTGGGCATGGAGGTGCATTGGACACCTTGGACGTTTGACTCCGACCAAAGGGCGTGTGATCTGATGAACTGGACACCGGCCTCCTATGGGCTGCGTTTTCACACACCGCCCGCTGTTTTTTGATTCAGGATCTGGCTATCCGAAGGCTCCGGTTGTGAACTACCTAAGAAATTTCACCTGCTCTGGTCTGGCCAACCTAGCAGTTTTGTACCATCGAGCAAATCATGGAACTTGCTCTTTTTTATAAAGAGTATTGTACCATGGGTTGTTTGGCACTATCTGAATTCAGACGTGTAGGAAATACACAAGAAATCACTGGTTCAGGCACTCCTACCACTTTGGTATAGGATGAGGCCCGATAGAAACGTAGGAAGACATACCTGAGTGCATGATTACTTCATTCGGAACATTCCTACCCAAATGTATATTCCAGAGAGTTTCGGGAAGATGTCTCCAAGTAGGTTGGATTTAAACTTTTCAATTTCGGTTTCAGCTACTTACGAGTAGCAATGAACGGGCCAGCAGATACTTGTGAACAAGCGATTATGAATCACGTCCAACAAGTGCCTGGCCTGCTGGGTAAACCGATGATTGTGAGTGACCATGAGATCGAAACGATGGGTAGCCAAAAATAATAACACTTATTTCACATCACTGCTCAAGAGTAACTCTGGTCTAATATGTAATACTCAACAATTTTTTAACCCACTTAGCGCTGGCGTCCTGTCGGTTATAATCACACCAGATTATGTACCCGGATTTTACAAAAACACCAACACAAATGATCTGCGCTTTGTCGGACAAAATGGGACTTCTCCTATACGCCCTGTCGCGAATGATGCCCGTGGATGACCAAGTGGTTGAGTCATCTAATGTTGACCTGGGATCCCGGGTTCGACTCATTTCATGGCCGCCCGTCTTCCGTACGCCGCCTTTATCTGGCCCCTTCCAGTAAGTTGACTATACATTTGTATATTCGATAAACAAAAAAGGAATTTAAAGGATATTCATCCTTGTAGGTTGATTTTCAATTGGGCTAATGAGAATACGCACAGATTGAAACAACTGTGCGATGAGCGCTGTCCTGTTTTTCCGTTCACTCTTCTCTTTTTTGTTTATTTTTTGTAACGATAAAAGAAAACATTCCGTATGCATAACATAATTCAAAAAGTCACTAGAAATCTCAGTACCGGAGTTCTCCCTACTGCGAAAAAAACAAACAAAGAAATGTGATAAATTGGAACGAAGTAATCAAGCATTGTAACATTTTATTTTGCCAATTCTATCATTTCCGGGAGCATTTAGGTTGTGGTATTTGACTATGTGGTCAGGGCTCGAGTATCAGAAATCAATTTTTAGTTGTGTCTGTGTGTGTCCAAATGTTGGTATACTGTCTGCGGTTTTGCATGTTCATCGGTAAAAGTTTCGACGATCTCGCTCTCTCTCACGCATACCCTGTCCCTAAGAGGTCCTCGGAAGAGTGTTGCTGAACGGGTGACTGAGAAAGTAATCAATCGAATTTCGAGTACTCGGGGGTTGATCACAGAGTAATTGTGAAATGATGACCTATCCAACTGGCTTAGAGGTGACATTTTGTGTACTACCGAGAGCTCAAAATAGCGTTTCACGTGAGAGAGAGAGAGAGAGAAAACGGGTATAATTAACATAAAAGATGCGAAAAGCATTTTTGCCTGACGCACAGAGGTCGAAAAAATACAGATTGTAACAAGTTAGCTATCTGATTATGACCACACCATTCAGTATTTGTAATACAGTAATCATGATCCCTCTAACCGGCTGTGATGTAGACGTGTGGCAAGTGGATGAAAACGAGCCCGGGTTGTCCGATTTACGCCCTCTACTGATTGGGGTTGGAATCCCAGCGGAATGGGTGAAAATTCACTCTGGTTGGTACTTGACAGCCGTACAGTGGCAATTGGAAGACTTGTTCATCGCGAACAACACGTCAAATCGACTTGGATAACAAAGTTTCATGAAATGATGAGATCCTTCAAATCGTGTCATAGAAACAACACTTCTCGCTGACTTCGGAATGCTCTTCTGATTACCTAATTACCAATAACTAGACTTCATGTGATTGCCAGTACTGTGAGCTAGTGATGCAGTCTGTTTAAACATTTGGATATGGTTAGGCAGGTTGGAAATCTCGTGAAAAACATGATTTTCTGCGATGTATCCAGAATCATTTCGGCGGATTTGTACACATGCCTACTGCAGTCAATGAAATGGTTTAGGCAAGCACTCTACGTTGATGGAACAGAGAGAAAGTTACGCAATCGGAAAGCTGAACATATTCCAGTACGAACTCAGAAAGTGATGAACAGCGAATTGACAACGATGAAATTTTCGGAAACTCTTCTTGGGTCTTCGGGTACGCAACGCCTATTGAGGAGACCAAAACTACTTTGACCCAAAAGACGCGTTTTTTTATTTGTACCTCACCGTTAAGCCGAATTTACTCAAATAAGACAAAGCTCTGTGTGGTTAACCAGCCAATAATTGCCCCCTTCACGTGCACGTATGCACTGACAACCTATACAACTTGTGCTATGTAGTGGTAGTAGCAGTGGTAGTAGTAGCAGTAGCAGAAGTAGTAGTAGTAGTAGTAGTAGTAGTAGTAGTAGTAGTAGTAGTAGTAGTAGTAGAAGTGGTGTTATAATTCCACAAGGCGGTTCTCGATCGAGGATAGCTTTTTATTGAGGATTGCAGATGGTGCATCACTAATTTGGCATACATGACACGGAAAGCTCAACAGAACCATACCACTGCAGTTCCTGGCCGCACAACCGGTAATGAATGTAGCAATCGATAGTTATGCTTTGAGATACAACAATTTTCCCTCGGTAATCTTGTTGATTTTCGATCGTTGAAATGAATCACAAACTATGTTACGTACTACTCACAAATATGAGTATTACCTCACATCATTCCTCCACAGGAGGAAAATGCACTCTTCATGCAGCGGGTAATGAGTTCTTTCTTTGGAGAGTTCGGACGGATTCGTATTTGGTTGACAGTTTCTTGTGGCTTCATGATTGAGTTTTGGTAACCCGACCAGTACGTTGATCTCTGACGACTTTTTGGCGTACGGCTATGGTCCCGGCGCCATCTATCGTGATCACTTTGATACGCATCTCTGTCGTCACTTATCTCCTGCAACATATTCATTGGAGTCTTTCTCATCCCTATTCTACCTGAACTTCGCCATCTAGGGAGTAACTTCTTGATCCACGGTCACTTACACGGTCTTCAACATGATGCTTGTACTCTGCTTGCGGCACTTTTAGAAATTCACTTCATTTCCGTTTCACCAGCATACTGAAATCCCTCATCGCCTTGTTGTATAGTCTGACAAGGTTTTGAATGTCCGTCGTATTCCGACAGAGAGAGAGAGTTCGATTTAGCGCACTGTCAACTTGCGGCTCGTGTTCGTCAAATGAATTCGCTGCCTGATTCGAGGCTTATACTGACTCAGTTGAATGAGATTCCACCATGTAAACAGTAGCACATGGTGTCGGACAACGATGGCACTTTCTCATCCCGCATCTCCATAGAGGTCTAGATTGAACAACAATCTGTCTTTTTGGAGGCGAACTTGTCCGGGGACACCGATTTGATCGAAATCAGAAACTCTCTGATGGAACATTTGCACTGTGTTTTGGGGACAATTGTTCTGCCAGTAAGTACTCTGGATTTCGGTTCTCACAATTCCCCTTCTTGATAGCTCACAATTCGTAATCGGTTCGAATGGCCACCACCTCCTTCGTTAATTCCTTGAGAGCTAACCTAATTCCTGCAGGCTGGCGTCTATGGCCTTCAGTTGGCTGGACGGGATTTCTTCCAAGTGACCTCCCTCAGGATATCCGCCAGTTTGAATACATACATGGTCTTCTCTACTTTAATTATCCATGCTGTCTCGCACGAATCTCCCGGCAGGCTCTCCATGAAACGGTCAAACAGTAATTCCGAACGCGCGGCATTATCCAACTTCGGGAGCGCTCGATTCAACGGGGCGCGCAGGCCACAACACGCGACAAAGGGTCCACACCAACTCCGAGCTGCGCCGTCCTGAAGCTCCGCAACGCCTACTGGCGGTTGCCCGGGGTGTCGAAACCCGCGATCAGAGCGTAATTCACGGCCGCCCAAATCACCTTCTCCGGGCCTCTCCGCGCCGCACCCAACACCGCCCGCTCCCGGTCCTTGAGAAGTGTTCGGAGGGCCGTCAACTTAACCCGGTCCGACCGTAATCCCGCCAGTTCCGCAAAGTCCTCGAATTTCCCCAGGAACGTCCGCACATCTCCATCCTTGAAGGCTTTAGACCATGGAACCTTCATCCTGATCCTGGCGACGGCATCAGTGTTATACTTCCACAAGGCGGTTCTCGATCGAGGATAATTTTTATTGAGGATTACAGATGGAGCCTTTGGTGATCTTATTGATTTTCAATCGTTGAAATGAAACTATGTTATCTATTACTCACAAATGTGAGTAGTACTTCACAACAGTAGTAGTAGTAGTAATAATAATAGCAGCATTCAGGTGTTCAGACGTACTGGAATGCTTCAGAACACACTGTGAATAAACAGTGTTCTAGGTTGCGTTATTTAAGTTTTTCACGGAAAACTACAACTTTCAAGTTGAAGCTAACCTTTCCCGAGATCAATTTCAAAAGAAAAGACTATATTGCAATACTACCATGCTATATCCCTATATAAATATGGTATTTTCTGCCGTTTGCACCATGTTGAGATACTTTCAAATTGTCACCTTATTCGACCTTCATCTATTGTCATCTCAAAACCTTAATCTGTGAAATGCATGCATTCGAATTCCCGGCCAACGGATTACCTGCGGAGTTATTCATTTACTAGCTAACTGCAGTCTTCACTGTAGTTATTTTTTTTCTCTCTGCAGCATCTGTATCGCTTGCGCTGGGTTACGAACCTACACAGTGAAGAGGCACACACACACACACGTTCATAAATCCCTCTGATGACGTCATTTTTATTTGCATTACTGGTCAGGTCGAAGTGATGTGCACACACACACACATACTTGTTCTGATTGAGCCGAAGACAAAAAGCGGCTGCTTACCAATGGGGTAGACCGGAGTTAGTGATCGAAAGTGCTCTCTCTCTCTCGCGCGCGCCCACACGCGATTCGCATTTATGCGCGCCACATAAAGCAAAGATGGTGGTGGTGGTGGTGGTGGTGGTGGTGGTGGTGGTGGTGGTGGTGG